TTTGTTTTAGATATATATAAATTGTTCGGGTTTTTTTCGTCTAAAAAACGACATTAATTTTTTGACAACATAATACACAGATATAATGTGGACAACGCCCTCTTTCTGTAACACTAAACAATGAGTCCTAGTTTACAGCCTGTCCCTTCCAACAAACTACATGGATTTAATGTGAACAACAAAGTCTTCCATCTACACCTTCAACTGAGAATACTACTTACACACAGTGTTCTAGTATCTACTACTGACACACAGTGTTCCAGTATCTACTAATGACACACAGTGTTCCAGTATCTACTAATGACACACAGTGTTCCAGTATCTACTAATGACACACAGTGTTCCAGTATCTACTAATGACACACATGATATTTATGACACACACTTTCCTTCACTATATCAATATTTTAATAATTTTCAACAATATGTAACATATTTACTCTCTCAGTTGAGTTCCCCAGAAGTCTGTCCGGGTATATAAGACTGGAAAATGTTGATGTACTTACTCTTACTGTCGGGTTTCTCAGAGGTTTATCCGGGTCTGGAATGTATTCCAAAGTGATGCCATAGAATTGTCCTGTTACAAAAAACACGAAATCATTGGTTTAATAAACTCATTATTATGATTACATATAAACACCGTCTATAAATATCATGAAACACCATAACCCTACATTTACTGGTGTTAACCTGAAACACCATAAGCCTACATTTACTGGTGTTAACCTGAAACACCATAAGCCTACATTTACTAGTGTTAACCTGAAACACCATAACCACATTTGATTTACTACTGCAGAAACTTAAAACCCCACAGGTGATTAGGTTAATCTGAAACATTATAACTTTTATTTTAGTGGTGTTAAAGAGGAACTCAACACCCCACTAGTAATTATGTTAACCTAGAACAAGTTAACTAACTACCCCTCTGTTAGTTAGTGTTAACTTGGAATATCATAGCCTTTATTTTAGTGATGTTAAACAGAAAGTCAACACCCCACTAGTAATTATGTTAACCTAGAACAAGTTAACTAACTACCCCTCTGTTAGTTAGTGTTAACTTGGAATATCATAGCCTTTATTTTAGTGATGTTAAACAGAAAGTCAACACCCCACTAGTAATTATGTTAACCTAGTACATCATAACATTTATTTTAGTGGTGTTAAAGAGAAAGTCAACACCCCACTAGTGATTATGTTAACCTAGTACATGTTAACTAGATACCCCTCTGTTAGTTAGTGTTAACTTGGAATATCATAACCTTTATTTTAGTGGTGTTAAAGAGAAAGTCAACACCCCACTAGTGATTATGTTAACCTAGAACATGATAACTCCCTATTTGTTAAACTATTATTAAACCTGTTCACTCACTAAGCTGGTTTATCCTCTTCTAAACACGACATTAGATCATATTTACCCTTGTTAATGTAAGTTATCCTGTCGTCTTCCCGTCTCTGATTGGTAGAAATGGAAGATTCGAGGAAATAACGGAATCCAACATCAGAATATCTGGAAAAATCGGTAAAATATTAGCTTAGTTAAGCCAGAGTTTGTTGTTTTGTACTTTTCTTAGAAATGATCATAATTTGAATATGAGACCCCCCCCCCCCAGATTATTGGTAACGTATAGCTGAAACAATCATGAAAAGTGTACGACATGCAAGAAGGCCTTGACGATAAAAAAACACGGATAAAAAAGCATGATGAAATAAATAATTCTACTTCTGGCGAAAATCTGATAGAAGTGTGGTAAGTTACTGAAAATATACACAATTCTTAGAAATATTACAAGTGTGACACAATTTTTAGTTTCTAACGATACATTTATATTATTTGTGACAAATCATTGACAACAGTATGTACACAAACAATGAGGTTAGAGGACGTTTCTTTCAGCTCGTTATTAACACATGTTACATACAGTTCGTTCAAAAAGGCTGCGTTGCTATTGGTCAAACGTAGGTTAAGCATGATTACAACTACCGGTGTATTGTTGAACTAAACAAGGCGTCGCTCTAAAGTTTAGCTTTGAAATATTTAAATTTATTGTTCCTTGAGGCCATACGATTTATCTTGAATAAGTTTAATGTTATATCCTTTATCATAAAGAATTCTTGAGTGGTTCTTATCGGTCATAGCGCCCTCTATAGGCATTTTTTTCTGTCTGCAAGGTGCCCTACTTCCACAACGTAGCAACAATAACGAATATTTGTAACTCTGTACGCGCTTTAGTAAGATTAAGCTATTCTTTCGATAAACAAAGAGAATGTTTGTAAAAGACTTGAAAATCTGAAGAAAAGAGATCAGAAAATACAAACATTTTGTTGTTAATCGTATATAACAAACGCCAAATCCATTCTTTGTCAAACTTAATTAACTGTTGGCAGTGTAACCCAAAACTGGAATTGAGAATCGCTTCTCTGTGACAATAACCATTGATTTTGTTACGTCTCTGGTCGTTTGTTAATTTCCCGTATAATTTCTTTCGGATGAAACTTTAGCGATACAAGTCCTTTCCTAAATAAAACTAGTTTATTCTTTCTCAATACAACTTTGCAATACACTTAACTTCCACAGTCACTTTAACTTAAACACACGTTATAATTCACAACGATTCACGCACTTTACTTAGGGTCACTACCGCGTTTGACTCAATTGTCCGTCTCTGTCTCTGCCTGTCTGTCTGTAATTATCCATCCCGTCACTTTATTTGCCGGTTTATATACTAAAATAGAGGACGCGTAGAAAAGACTAGAGTTGCCAGGAACAGACATGATCCTTCTATAAACCCATCA